GGGGCTGCAGAGGGCAGGGGGCTGCAGAGGGCTGGGGGCTGACGCTGCTTCTGACAGCAGGCTGCTGTGTGGGGCGGGCACTGTAAGGTGGGCCCTTGTTCAAGCCAGACACTCATGGACGGAGGCTCAGGCCCGCCTGTTCCCTTTTCATCTTGGGGAGTGGGGAAGGTGGGGCAGGGCTGGGCTCACCGTCCTTGGCCACGTCCCCAATGGGCACGTTGTGCTTCTGTGCCATGTATCCCAGGAAGGAGAAGACGACGAAGCCGGAGGAGAAGCTGGTCAGAGAGTTGATGGAGGTGGTGACGATGGCGTCTCTGCAAGGACAAGACAGGCCGTTGGTGCAGCCGAGCTGCGGCCCTGTAATCTCCCAGTCATCACTCTCCATTTCCTGTGTCTGGGGGGGCAGGGCGCTCTGGAGGGGCTGCTTCTCCAGGTGAGCTCGGCAGCCCTGCTGCAGCCCGGCAGGGCCCGACCTGGGCCACCCTGGACTCCTGCCTCAGGTGGGTGAAACAGCCTGTATTCTGCTGGCCCAGGGTGCCGACTGCCCCCCTCGCCAGGGGGCTGCCAAGCAGGGCTTCTAGGACCAGAGGGGTGCACACCCTGTGACATCACTGAAATGCAGATCCTGAGCGGTGGCCCAGTGGCCGGCTGTGTGTGCAGGCACACATGGGGACGCTGGTGCTGCCAGTCTGAGGTCCTCACTGGAGGGCCAGAGGCCTCAGGCGGCCAGCGCTCTCCTCCTGGGTCCATGTGGCCAGCTGCCGTGTAGGACTGCATTTCTCCCGCAGAGTGCCTGGACCCGGTCGACACGGGGTGGACTCTGGGCTGGGGCTAGCTGGGGGCCTCCTGCATGGTCTGACTGGCCGTTTCGCTGCACTCAGTCTGAACTTCAGTGCAATTTAATCCTCATGATGTGAAAGAAGTGAACCAGGCTCTGAGGGGGGCAGGAAGCAGGACTCAGACTCGATTCTGTTTGCTTTGGGAGGATTTGGGTTTGGCATGAGGCTGCGGGTGGCCCGCGCCCTCCTGAGCTGGTGGATCAGCCTAGTCTCCTCAGGGTCTGGCCTGCCATCCTGGGGTCCAGGCCCCCTCGGTGCAGGCCTGAGGGGCACACTGAGGTGGCTCCTTGGGGCAGGCGTCTTGGTGAGGTTGGACCCTGAGCAAGGGGACAGAGACTGCTGCGCTGGCCTGGGGAGGAGGTGGCAGGAGGAGAGCATGTCTGCGCAGAGGGCTGGCC